ACTCAGCTACTATATAATACCAAAATACATGCTATAGACTCGAAAAGCCCCGAATCAACCTGGAGCTCACCAATAGCTGCTGGATGTCCTGTTCTCCTACTGGGGAGGTCTACTAGCTTCTGTACCTGCAGCATGAATTGCAGGTCCCCCGAGAGAGACATACTGAGTATGTAAGGCATAAAGTACCGTATGTAAAATAAGAACTCAAATGAAATCATATAATAAAATAAGAACTCAAATGAAATCATATACCAATGTAAGAATACAAGACCACCTTTTCTCATATTACGGAATCTGGTACTTTACATTATTTTCTTTACTTTATCATTCTTTACAGCATATAACACAAATGACCAGTTGATCAGTGGTAGACGTATAAATAGGGATCAACCCATTATGGGCTTTCCTTTAACCCCTGGTATACCACCCGTAATATTGGGATCGACCCATGCTAGGTGATTTTCCACCCCTAGGATACCACCCATCAATAAGCAGATTCATTTCATATATTTCCATTAACATTTGAGATGATTCTTCTGGTGGTCACAACATTTTTGAGTTGTGGGACTATGTAGTCAACAAGTGACATGTAATAATCATATAATTTAAGAACAACAAAGTAGAGGGTAGTTACACAATTAGTGAAATGCATAGGAGCTGAAATAACATATGGACCTTATTTAGTTAAAAGAACTCATGCAGGATATTCAATATATATGTACATATTTGACAATGAACATGTATTGGAACGTGCAGACATGTTAAAGAGTGAGAACAAAGTCATAAGTCGTGTTGGAGCTGGTAGGATGCCTCTATGTGTCGAGGACGAGTCTAGATTTCATGCCAATTAGTACCAAATCGAAAAGCCTTACATACCTTGATGTACCACCTTGTAGTTACCTTGAAGTACATTTCTTTCTTTTCAAATACTTATCTACAATAGAGTAGGTGATAAACTAGTATTAGTAGTTACTAAACATGCTTAGGCAATCAAATCTCACTCAACAATAATACTCGGGCAGCAAACCCGTAATTACCAAACTAAGGTTGTTCTTTCAATCCCCGCCTTCTTTTATTGCATTTGTACACTACACAGCTATATTTCAATATCAACAATTTACACCCTTTCCAGATATCAACCAAGTTGTCCCCAATATGTCTATACATCAACCTGTCCCAAAAACAGTCCTAACAATCCAACATACAATAGAGGACGTGAAACGATAGTTTCCCATCATCAACCCACTAGTTCTTATCAATAATACATTTAAAATATCATACTTAGACTCGTGTTTAAGGAAGACAAAGATAGGGCAATCACTTTACCTTAATTCCTATAACTCATTTTTCCTTTAATTTTTAACTCTTCAATAACTTGAGCTTCCCTTCACATAGGCAAAAGAAAAAGAGAAAAGCCTCTCAATAACAAAGGAAAGTGAGCAATTAAACTTTTGACAGATTCAGTCCTCTGCTTGTTCTTAACTAATTAACATGTTTATCTAGCATTCCATGAGAGAATTAGGTTAAATCCATTAGTAATTCCACTTATCTTACCTTGCAAGGGCTTGGGTTTATCCAAGAACCCTAGGAAACTTGTGGCTGCTACTATGATTTGAAAGAGAGAGGAGAATCTTAGAGAAAAATGTGATTTTTATATATTCTCAAATGTCAGGAAATGGCCAGCAACTTGGGGATTATAAAGGCCTTACTTTTCCCCACCTCTTAAGTTTTAATATCAGCCACTAATTTATGAAATTGGTCCAAGTAGGTGATGCACCTGCTTGGAATTATATATACACAAAATGGGCCCTTTATGTACTCTTGGGCAGCAATATTTCCCCTTTCTAATATTAAGCCATGGGCCAGAATTATACCCTTAATTTGGGCCTTAGTCTTTATTGGGCTCAAGTAGTTGGACTTGAACAGATTAGTGTGAGGCCTCATCTCCATTCCCTTTTCCTTTTTATTTTATTTGGGCCTCAAGTGAGCCCACTAATGCATGAACTAATTTTCCCAATCTTTCTAGCCCATTTGAGCTAAGCAAGTAAGTGACACATGCTAGCTTTATAAAGTCCAACAAGCACCTAAATTCTTTTATTCGTTTTCTGAGCGTAATCTCCTTAGTTTAACTCAAAACTTATATACACTTGATCACCTTAACTTTTAGACTTACATATTGCCCTTCGATCCCGAATTTAAATATTTCTAAAATTTGACATTCACTCGATCGTGCAATATTGCAATGTACGGGAGTTACCCTTATAGCTTCTTTATTGTCACCATTCATCTAGGAAATCAAGTTCATTACTTATACCACTAAGCTAAATCAAGTTCCATATATGTAGCACTTGTACACGTAAAATATGGGGTGTTGCAGACCATGTCGCCAAAGGTACTGATGGAGATCCAGAGAAACCTTGATGGGAGAGTCAAAAGACAAAAAGGGCGTATCCCAAAATGAAACGGCAATCCTGATATAGGCGATACGAAAGGACAATCTGTGATGCCTGACTTTCCTCGTCGATTGGTCCCAAAAGTCACAGACCAGACTTGTATAAATTAACTTTTGCAAGAGAGAAATTTTTTAGAAATTCTGATGAGAGAGCAAAAACAATGCTATTGTTGATTCCAAGTGATTTTGGTAAAGTTTTTCATTTGGGTTTTGTAATAGAGAAGATAGCATTAAATTTTGACTTTCAATTTCAGTTACCCAGCTATGGAAAATGTGGCAGGTATTGAATTTCATCTCTTTACAATGATTAGCTAAAACCCTAACCTTAGGGGTTTGACGATGTGACCAATTGTTGCATTTGACTAAATGGGTGTTATCAATTAGTGAATTATGGCGTTAATTTGAAGTGGATCTGAATTATTATTGTGGTTTAATTTCATTATTTCATGTTTAGTGTAATATAGTTCAAAGTTTTGTGCTTGCTCGAGGGAGAAGTATTGAACCAAATTAGTAATTTGGCATCGTTAAGAGTGGGTCATGATCATTTTAGCTAGAGGAAGTAAAACATGAGATTCAACCTTTGTATCTAGCTAGAAAGAGTAGATTTGATGAGAAAGTGGGTTGGGTGTCTTATGGAGAGTGTTAAAGTTCGAGAGAATTGAACAGAAATAAAGTAATTGATCGAGAGAAAATTTCTCTACTTATAATCCATTCTACCCACAACGAATTAACATTGTTGGTAATGATGTACACCCATTGTGTTGAATTCAGCAGTTGGTTAGTCAAATCCACCAAGTGTTATCTCGTTATTTGATTGTTCTGTGTTGATTGTTAAAATGGGTTGGTAACGACATTCGGGAGTTTAACTTATAAACTCCTAAGTGTGGTGTTGGTTAAGCTGCAAAGGTCACTGTCATACTCTCATATTCAAATTCAAAAGAATGCTACTCTCAGTGGGTCGACCCCAACTCATTTAGTTGGGTTTATACTAACTAGTGATCGTTGACACTTAGAATTGGATGAATTTTCCTTGAAACGTTAATCAAAATGGCGCCGCTATCGAGGAGTAGCATTGATTAGAGTTCTTTTATCGAAGTTACAATTGTGAATTTGTCGGCTGTAGTTGAACCAAGTTAGACTGCAATGCATTGGTGTTAACTGGGCTGAGTAGAAGTAAGAATGAGTGAGAAAGAGGTGAATGGAAGCATAGCAAGTCACCGAGACAGTATCAATGATATTAATAGTGTCTACAACCCAACCCAATAAGGAGAAATGGGTGCAATTTGCTTACCAACCGCTGATGAGAATGTGATTTTTGAAGTCACAAGCAGAATCCTTCATCTCCTCCAAGTGAAGGGACTTTATGGTGGGCTGGTTCATGAAGATCCACATGAGCATGTGAGGAATTTCATAGATGTGTGTAGTCTGTTTTCACTTAAGAATGTGACACAAGAATCAATCCGACTCGGATTATTTCCACTAACTCTGACACGAGAGGCTAGCATGTGGTTGGTTGAGCTACCAAAGAATTCCATCACATCATGGTATGAGCTAATCACGACATTTAATACAAGATTGTTTTCCTCCTTTGAGTATGATGAAACTCAGGGATAACATTCAAGGTTTTAAGCGATTAGAGGGTGAACCCATCAATAAAACATGGTTGAAGTTTAAGAAACTCCTACTTCAATGCCCCAACTCACGGGCAACGAAATGATTTGCTACTCCAATATGTTTACCAGAGTCTAGATTCGGTTAATAAAGGAGCGGCTGATCAATTGGTTCGAGGGGGAATAATGTTGCAATCATTTGAGCTAGCTTCATTTCTTCTTGAAGACATGACGAAAATAAATCGAGCTTGGTACACTCAAGAGGATCAAGTCTCTCCTTTTTGTTTTAGAATGACCCAAGAACAACTTGATAAAGAAAGATAAAGGGGTGAGAACATCAAGAAGATGTTGGCCCAAATGAAGCTACTACAAGAGCATATGTTGGAGAATGTGAAAAATCCTAAGAGAGCAAGTGGAGTGTTTAGAGTTGAGGAGGGTTCTTCCTTAGGTTATTCAAAATCAGGGGAGAATCAAGGTTGGAATTCCAAGAAATACGCGGAGGGTTTCCACCCACGCTATTTAAAGCGAGGTGGGATTCAAGGTTGGAACTATCACAAGGAGGAAGATCAAAGAAGATACTATCAAGAATGGGCTGAGCTAAGTGATTATTGGAAAAGGAGAATGATCATGAAGAGGACCACAATCAATCGAGTGAAATCCCAAAGTCGAAAGGGAGTGCAAGTAAGTAGTCCCCGGGTGAATGATTTACTATCATGCATCCTTCACAAAGTTGAAGATTCAGATGACTTGTTAACAGGGATGAAAGACGATTTTTCGTCATTTAACAATAAAGTGAACTCTCACACAGATGCAATTAAGCTACTTGAAGGTCAGTTGAGTTTACTTTCAGCACAATTGGAACAAAAAATGACAAGGGAAGATGATGATAGAGGTCTGGCTGTGGTTACTCGTAGTTGGAGGTAGCGATAGGCGATGTGATGGGCAATGATGAAGAAGACAAAGGTATGGAGGAGGAAGAAATACCCATCCATCAAAGCATTGCCAAAGGGCCACAAAAACATGTGGAGAAACACAATCCAATCCCAAAAGTTGTGCAACCTTTACCCAAAATATCTCCTCCATTTCCCCAACGCCTCAAGAAGAAGAATGAGGATGAAAAGTTCAAGAAGTTTTTATTGGTTTTCAAGACATTATCAATTAATCTCCCTCTAGTGGAGGCATTGTTGGAGATGCCAGGTTATGCCAAGTTCATGAAGGAGTTAGTCACCAAGAAAAGAAGTTTGGACATGAAACAATTGAAGTCTCTCATAGTTGTATGCAATTATGACTAATGAGAAAATAAAAAAGAAGGAAGATCTCGGAGCCTTCACTATTCCTTGCACTCTCGGTAAGCTCAAATTCTCCAACGCTCTATGTGATTTAAGAGCAAGTATAAACCTAATGCCATACGCAATCTATAAGCAACTTGGATTGGGTGAACCAAAGTCCACAACAATGAGGCTTTTGATGGCCGATCGATCTATCAAGCACCCTATTGGGATACTTTATGACATCTTGGTAAAGGTTGATAGATTCATTTTCCCGGCTAATTTTGTCATTCTCGATTGTGAAATAGATGTTGAAATTCCTATCATTTTTGGAAGACCATTCTTAGAAACCGGGAGAGCATTGGTGGATGTTGAAATAGGAGAACTGAAGTTCCGGGTAAACGAAGATGAAGTAACCTTTAATGTTTATAAGTTAATAAAGCACCCAAGCAATATTCATGTGGTCTCTACTATTGATGTTATTGATGAGGCGGTGGCTAATGTGAGCCATTTGATGTGTATGAGTGAACCACTTGAAGCCGTGCTTGTTAACTATGATGAGTTCTAAGTTCAAGTCTACGAAGAGGTAGTAGATGCGCTCTCAAGCATGGCGGATTATTCTAAGACTCCACTGAAGCTGGACATTGATCTAAAATATCAAGAAAGTCCTCCCGCAAATCCATCAACAGAAGAACCACTGAATCTGGAGTTGAAAGTACTTCCTTCGCATCTCTAAAATGCATTCTTGGGGGAAAATAACACTTTACCTGTGATTATTGCAGCTGATTTGCTTGAATGGAAAATAAAATTACTCCTTGAGGTTTTGAAAAGGCATATCAAAGCTATAGGTTGGACTATCGCTGACATAGTAGGAAACCCTCCTGGCATTTGCACTCACAAAATCCAACTTGATAGTGACTGTAAACCGAGTGTTGAACATCAACGAAGATTGAACCCATCGATGCAAGTGGTGGTAAAAAAGGAGATAATAAAGTGGTTGGATGCAGGTGTGATCTACCCTATTGCTGATAGCAAATGGGTATGTCTGGTACAATGCGTACAGAAAAAGAGAGGCATCATGGTAGTCCCAAATGAAAAAGAGGAGCTTGTGTCTATGAGAACGGTGATCGGATGGCGGGTATGCATTGATTACCGGAAGTTAAACTCGTGGACTGAAAAAGATCACTTTCCCATGCCTTTCATGGATCAAATGCCTGATCCACTTTCAGAGAAAGGATGTTATTGCTTTTTACATGGGTACTCCGGTTATAATCAAATCTCCATCGCTCCAGAAGACCAAGAGAAAACTACCTTCACCTGCCAGTATGGAACTTCTACCTTTAAAGGATGTCGTTCGAGTTATGTAATGCTCCAGCAACTTTCAACATTGCATGCTATATATTTTTGCTAATATGGTGGAGGATTCAATGGAAGTCTTCATGTATGACTTCTCGATTGTGGGTTACACCTTTGAAACATGATTAGCACACTTAGGACAAGTGGAAACAAACTTGGTCCTAAATTGGGAAAAATATGACTTTATGGTTAGGGATGGTATACTTCTTGTTCACAAAGTGTCGCAAAAAGGGTTGGAGGTGGATAAAGCAAAGATTGAAGTGATTGAAAAGTTATCACCGCCTATTTCAGTGAAGGGTATTCATAGTTTCTTGGGGCATGCCAGTTTTTATCGGAGGTTCATCAAAGAATTTTCAAATATTGCACATCCTCTATGCAAACTCTTGGAGAAGGAGGTGAAATTCCACTTTGACGATGCATGCATGGTGGCCTTCAAGTGTTTGAAAGAAAACTTGATCTCCACTCTGGTTATCATTAGTCCCAATTGGTCAGAACCCTTTTATGTAATGTGTGATGCAAGTGATATGGCATTAGGTTTCGTGTTAGGGCAAAAACACAACAAACTATTTCACCCCATTTACTACACAAGCAAAACTCTAAACGGTGCTCAACATAACTACACAGCTACAGGACAAGAATATCTTGCGGTAGTATATGGATTTGAGAAATTCCGAGCATACTTTCTAGGCACTAAAGTGGTTGTTCACACTGATCATGTTGCACTGCGTTATCTGATGGCAAATAAAGATGCCAAGCCAAGATTGATAAGGTGGGTGCCACTGCTGCAAGAATTTGACTTTGAAGTCAAAAATATGAGAGGTTGTGAAAATCAAGTGGCTGACCACCTTTCAAGATTGGAAGGCAATGAAAATGAAGAGCTGGAGGTAGCCATAAATGATGCCTTTCCCAATGAACAAGTATTCATAGTAACTCTCCAACAATCTCCTTGGTATGCTGATTTTGCTAATTATATGGTGTGTGGACTAATGCCGAACGAACTGAACTTCTACCAACAAAAGAGGTCTTGTTCGATGTTAAGAAGTACTCTTAGGATGAGCCATATTTATTCAGGGAATGTGCAGACCATATCATTGGGAGATGTGTTTCACAGGAAGAAGCCATTCAAATTCTCCATTTTTGTCTTGCTTTACCGATTGGGGGTAATCATGGTGGAGTTCATACAACTGCTAAAGTTCTTCAAAGTGGTTACTACTGGCCGTCCCTCTACAAATATGCTCATAAGTTTGTTAAGAAGTTCACTCAATGGCAGAAACAAGGTGGGGTGTCCAAAAGACACGAGTTTCCTCTCAAGCCCATTTTAGAAGTTGAGTTATTTGATGTTTGGGGTATAGATTTTATAGCCCCCTTTGTGAGTTCGTTTGGTAACAAATACATTTTGGTGGCAGTGGATTATGTTTTTAAATGGGTGGAGGTTGTTGAACTACCAAACAAAGAAGGGAGAAGTGTTGTTCAATTCCTAAAATGCTACATCTTTGCTACATTTGGTACTCCACGGGCTATTATTAGTGATGGGGGATCCCATTTTTTCAACAAGTTTTTTTCATCCGCACTGGGTAAGTATGGTGTGAAACACAAAGTAGCAATTCTGTATCATCCGCAAACGAGTGGGCAAGTTGAAGTGTCAAACCAGGAGATCAAGAGTATCCTTGCCAAGACAGTGAATGCAAATAGGACTGATTGATCTCAAAAGCATGATGATGTTCTATGGGCGTATCTCACCGCATACAAAACACCAATCGATATGTCTCCGTATCAGCTAGTCTTTGGAAAATCTTGCCATTTACGGTTGAATTAGAACACAAAGCATTATGTGCATTGAAAGCTCTAAATCTGGATTGGGCAAAGACTTCAAAAGAGAGAGTAGATCAGCTAAATGAGTTGGATGAATTCAGGTTTAGGGCTTCTGAAAGTTCACCTTTTTACAAGGAAAAGATGAAGAAGTGGCATGATACTAGGATCCTTAAGAGGGAGTTCTGAGTAGGAGATTGGGTGTTACTATATAACTCTCAACTCAGACTCTTTCCGGGAAAACTCAAATCCAAATGGTTAGGTCCATTTAGAGTAACACGGGTGTTCACAAAGGGTGCCATTGAAGTCAAAGGTAAAGAGGGACCTGCATTCAAAGTAAATGGGCAACACTTAAAGTTGTACTTTGGCGAATGCCAGGAGATTTCTCTGATTGAGGTGGTGTATCTGGAAGATGTTTGAGAGCATTTCAATATCGTTCTGTGATGTTAAATAAGGCTCTTCTTTGGGGGAAACCGATGTGTTAGTAATTCAAATAATGTTTGTTGATTTTACAGGTGCAAGAAGTTGTGCAAGATGCAGACACCATTGGTGAATCGCCGAATCTGTTTGGCGAGCCCGACATAGTTCACCATCTGGACTTTGAAAATGGAGCTAAGATACTGGAACATTAGGCGGAGAATCTTAATCACTCGGTGACTCACCGAAGTGACTGGGTGACCCAATTTTCTCTACCCTTCCACCTTATCTTTGATAGACTGACCTAATGGGTCATTCGGCGGGGTAGCAAGTCTGTTGTGCAAAACGCAGACCTGTTCGGTGAACTCCTTCAATTCCGCCTTTTTGCCGCTTTCTAAACATGCCTCATACTAGAAATAAGGGTGATAACCAGAACATTGAGTGAACCACTGAGTAGTTTGACGATTGTTTCAAGATTCTTACCAAATGGGCGCCTAGTGAAGGTTCATTGTCACCTTGCTCTGCATGTTTACATACCAGTAGTTTATCTTTCTTTTCATTCTTGGTATTGTCTGTTCTCTACTAATTGTGGATAATGTTGGATGCTTTTGGTGGGGGTGTGTGTGTTTGGTTCAGTGAGTCCCTTGCTTGTTCAAAAATTTATAAATTTGAGTATCGGTTATGATCAATACCGATGACTTGAATAGTTCTCTTAATCGAAGAAAAAAATGAATGTGTGGCTAGGAGGCCAAACGAAGTTGCACAGATAATATGTGTACTTTTTGCATCTCGCTGGACTAGCCAGTTATTGAATGGATTCTCTTCTGATGAACATTGCACTCTAGAAAAAGTGTGGAGTCTTGCTTGATATTAGTGTCAATACCATGTGTGAGGACATCTAGAATTTACCCTGTTGGTCCGGTTGACTAAGTGATGCAAGATCTTGAATGATCTTAGGCAACAATTTTAAAAAGTGAAACTATTTGACAATATACCTCTTTTGTGGACAACCTTGTGAGATGTGTGAACTTTGCTTAAACACCCTTTGAGCCTTAGACTTTTCTTGGATGAAACTTGATGCAATTGTAACCCCTCTTTGTCCATTCAACCATAATCCACATGAAGTCTGGCTTCTATAAATAGCCAACTTAGGCCAAAAGCCTAAGTTGGGGGTGCAGTGAAAAGAGAAGGTAAATCAAGAAATGCAAAGAAGTCCCCCTTGATCCATGGCTTTGAGAAAGATGGAACCCCTCCACATATAAAAAAAAGGAGAGAACAAGAAAAGAAGAATGAAAAAGAAAAGGAACGAAAAAAGTTGTGAATATGTGAAGAAAAGGAAAGAAAGTGATGTTCATGCCATATTTCACGAGGATAGCAACCACTGAGCCTAAATGACCATACCTTTACACTAAACCCCGTTACAAGCCTTGAAAAGACCTTTTTGATCTTAAGTGAGCTGAAAGTGAGTGTTGATTGGAAAATAAGGGCAAACTTATGGGTAAAGTCATGCATGTGTTCATCTTTGTGAGTGTGAGAGTTGTATGTGATTCCGAAATTATTTTTGTTGAACAATTGTGTATGAATATGGAATCATTCTTGTGTGAGGGTATTTGAGTACCTTTGTTGAGCTTGAACTTGCATTTGCAGCAAGTATTGTGAACTTGAGAATCTTTGATAACGGTGAGTCACAACTTGAACCTTTGAGAGCACAATTGATCTTTGCATGAGTAAGTTGGAGTCTTGTTATGTGAATTCATGATTGAGTCTTTTGTAGCACTGTTTGATACATCCTATTTGAACTGCTGAACTTAGGTCTTACTTGAGGACAAGCAAAAGTTTAAGTTGGAGGTGTTGATGTCTCCGTGATTTGGACTCTTTTAGGGCGTTGTTTGTATAGAACTAGTGTCCTCAAATGCTTAATTTGTGCCAATAACTGATGTAAAACCCTTGATTCTCAGATACATGGATTGAGTAACAAAGCTAGGA